CCCCTCTTTGGGCTCCTCTTGGAGCTCCAAGAGGGGCCCAAGATGGCCCCACGAGGGCCCCGAGGGAGCCCCACGTGGGCCCAAGGAGGCCCAAGGAACCCCAAGATGGCCCCAACATCGGTCACGCGGAAGAGCTATCGCGTGACCGATGTTGGGCCCCCTCTTTGGGCTCCTCTTGGTGCTCCGAGAGGAGCCCAAGATGGCCCCGCGAGGGCCCCGTCGAGACCCCAAGAGGGCCCAAGGAGGCCCAATAGGGCCCCAAGAGGGCCCCAACATCGGTCACGCGAAAGAGCTCGCGCGTGACCGATGTTGGGCCCCTCTGTGGGCTCCTCTTGGAGCTCCGAGAGGAGCCCAAGGTGGCCCCACGAGGGCCCCGACGAGCCCCAAGAGAGCCCAAGAGGGCCCCAAAAGCGCCCCAACATCTCCTCTCCTTCCTCCTCCTCCCTCCTCTGCATCTTCCTCCTCCTCCTCCTTCTCATCCTCCTCCTCCTCCTCCTCCTCCTCCTCCTTCTCCTCTCCAGGGGAATGAAAACCAGAGGATAGCTCACGGAGAGCCCAAGCACCCTCTTGTTGCATCCATCTTGGCTTCCAGATGGAGCCCAAGAAGGCCCCAAGGAGGCCCCTCAAGAGGCCCCAGGAGACCCCAGACGTCCAAGGACGCCCCCAAGACGCTTCGCGTCACCAATTTCTTCTCGCAACGATTCCTGGGTCTGTGACTCGACAGAACCTAAGCGCGCGCGAAGCGCGCGCGTGGTTCTAGTATATATATATATATATATATATAACAACACATTTTTCGGGACGCTCGATTTTGAAATCCTGACGGGCCTAAGAGTTTTGAGTCGTTTCGGCGTGCGCGCGTGACGACGCGCGCGTATGCTCTTCGTCATGTGATTTTTTCCACTGTTCTCTTGCGGCGGCACGCGCGCAAAGGCGTTCGAACGATTCCGACACTCGCGCGCAGAAGGCCCTTGTGGTGGCATCTTATGAACATGTCGCAACGCCTAGTTTTTTTTGTTGTCTTCAGATTTTACACGATCCCGAGCGCGAGTTTTTTGTTGTTGTTTGTTGTTGTTGTTTTGTTATAGCCGTTGTTGGGGAGCCATGTGTGTTTGTATGTATGTGTATATATATATATCGTCGGGGCGCTCGATCTTGAAATCCTAACGGCATCTAAGGTATTTGAACGATTTTGGTATGCGCGCGCGGCGACGCGCGCGTGTGCACTCTTTACCGTTTCTCTTGCAAGGGATGGGTTAAACCATACTGAGTTTTGATAAGCGAGTGTGCGCATAGTTTGTTGCAGAAAATGAGGGGGGAACCGCTACCGGTTTGGCTGGGAAGATATGAGTTCATGTTTCTCATGAGCGGTGGGGTAGAAGCATATGAAAATTCCGATTCGAAAAGGGGGGCCGTTCACTCCGGGGGGTTCTTATTAGAAAAGGTGGGCTGTCCACTCCAGTGCCCGCGCAATCATCCCACCCACTCGCCCGTAATTTGGTTTGCAAAACCCATGCGGCAGCGATTGTAATGCGTGCTTGGAGTTGGCTGGTGCATTTCTGCGGGTGCGCTAGCCCGCGCACGCTCGCGCGCGCAGCGGCCATATAGTTTGGCGCTGCCGGCGCGGCCGCGGTGACGCTGACCGCTGGGCGTTTCCCAGCGGTAACTTCAGTGCGAATCGGCGATTTGGGCGGGCGCGGTATCATGGCAACGTAGACAACGGTAGACGCGATGATGATAGTATCGATGCTGGAGACGATGATGACAACGACGACGGCAAGGCCACTGACGGCGCCGATGCTGATCACGCTAACGACGATGACGGTGGTCTTGCGTCGATGGTATAGGTTTTGGAGGGAGTTTGACATGCGCGCGCGGCCCGCGAGAGTGGCGCGCATGGTAGTATTTGACACGGACCCTGCCCCCCCCCAGCACGCGCGCAAGGGCGTTCGAATCATGTCGACGTGCGGCGCGAGGGACCCGGTTGGCCGAATTCAATAAAATGTTAACAATTGATGGATTTCTGAAGAATTCGCAGTGGCGCGGGCGCAGGCATTTTTGAAAACATATGTTGCAACACCATGCTTGCGGGACGCTCGATTTTGACATCCTGACGAACCTAACGTTTTGGAGAGATTCCCGCATGCGCGCGACGACGTTTTCGGGTGCTTTTGTCATGTTTTTTCCCCAATGGCTTCTTGTGGCAGCACGCGCGCACAAGGGCGTCCGAACGATTCCGACACGCGCGCGCGGGAGGCCCGTTTGGTAACACCATATCAAACATTGAACACCGATGGTTTCTGACGAAGTCGCAAGAGCCCGACCGCGAGTTGTTTTGAACATTTTGGTAGGGAAACTATGTGTGTGTGTTGTCTTTTTTTCGGGACGGTCGATTTTGAACTCTTTGCGCAACCTACTGTTTGTGAGCGGCTTCGGCATGCGCGCGCGACGACGCGCGCGTGTGTATGTTGTACCGTTTCTTGTGCAATGGGTTCTTGAATCCAGATGCGTTTTGATAAACGAGTTTGCGCGCGTACTTATTTTGCGGTGGATGGAAAAAGGGGGAACCGTTACCAGTTTGGCCGGGATGGTACAAGTTCATATTCGGGGTCAACGATGGGGCACATACATATGTACATTGCAATGCCATTGCAACATGGGGCAATCAATATGTATATCTATATGTGCATTATATATGTATGTATGTATGTATGTATGTATGTATGTACGTATATATGAATGTACGTATGCATGCATGCATGTACATTTGTATGCAAGTGTGTATGTATGGCTGCATACATGTACTTATGTATGTATGTGTGTATGTATGTGCGTATGTATGTACGTATGCATGCTTGTATGTCTGCATGTCTGTACGGGCCTTATACATGTATATATATATATATGTATATGTACTTTTATATGCGTCTATTGGTATTTGCACAGGATCGTATACTGGCTATCCACATCTACAATCGTATGTGTACATTTGTATATCTGTCCATCTGTGTATACACACGTGCATGCACACGCACTTGTCATGTATATGTATATGTGTATGCATATATGTATATAGATGTGTATGCATAGGTATGGTGTATGCGTATGCATTTGTATCCGCATATGTGTATGTTTGCGCATGCGTTCGCGCATGTGTATATGCGTATATAGGTATGAATATGTAGAATCTGAGCTTTCGTGCCGCCAGGGTGGCTCGTCATGAGCTGTGCCGAAACTAGCTGCATGGTAAGGTGCTCCCCAAAATGGTGCCGTCTTCGAGGAATCTCGCAGTTCTCATCTAGGCAGCCCTCGGCGGAGGCCAGCGGGAGGCCGGCCTTCCCCGACAGGTCGACGCCAGCGTACCTGAGGTTTCCGGAGTCTGTTTTTTGTGAGTTTTTCGGGCCCCAGGCTCACCTCCCCGACCGATCGTGGGATCATTCAGACCGAGACGTGCAACGAGGCTCCCTGTCTTAATCCGACGCGCCGTCGCTTTCGCGCCGCCAGGGTCCGGCGTGGAAAATGGGGGCGAGGATCGTGTCTTTGTGTGTGTGTGTGTGTGCGCGTGCGGATAGCATGTCGAAATCTTCGGCGTCTGAGCGTCCCTTCTTCCTCTCGGCCGTCCCCCTTTCCCTCGTTGCTCGCCGGCCAATTCGCTAGTTAGAGCCCCTATCTAGCTTCTCGCTGGAGCGGAGTTCGCCGCCTCGCCGCTGACGAAAAAAGTGTGTGGATCATGGGCAGGGTTATGACTTCACCCGGATCTCAGGTCCCCCTGACTCTTTTTCAATACATCTCCTGGCCCCCCTCGACGATGCTGCTGATGCTGGTGATATTGCTGGCGCTACTGGTGCTACTGAGTCTACAGATGCTGCTGATGACCGTAATGTTATTCCTGTTGTTGTTGATGATGACGGTGCTGATGTTGACGTCGGCGACGGCGATGATGATGTTGGTGATGATGAGGAGTGTCTTGATGAGGAGGATGAGGTGGAGGGATGGCCGAGTGCGCCAGACAAGCCGGAGGGCTCTGCGCCCTGGGCTCTTCACCCGCAAGATGACGATGATGACGATTATGATGTTGATGTTGATGTTGATGTTGATGATGACGCTGTTGCTGATGGTGATGGTGATGATGATAACGATGATGACGATGATGATGATGATGATGATGATGATGATGATGATGATGATGATGATGATGATGATGATGGCGGCGTGAGTCGTGATGCTTAAGTTGATACTGATAACGAAGACGGTGGTGGTGACGATGACGTTACTGATGATGATGATGATGCTGATGATGATGATGATGATTATGCTGGTGACGATGCTGATGATGATGCTCTTGATGCTGAATATGGTGATGATGCTGCTGATGATGGCGACGATGCGGTGATGATAGTTGTGCAGGTGGTGATGGTGACGACGACGATGACGATGACGATAATGAGGAATATGATGCGGTTGCTGATGAAACTGCTGCTGATGATGATTGTGATGATGCTTACAATAATCATGACCATGATGGTTATTCAGATGGTAAGGATGAATGATGGTGATGATGAGTGAGGATGAGGTGGAGGATGCGGAGGTGGAGGGTGATGTCGCATGAGGAGGAGGAGGAGGAGGAGGAGGAGGAGGAGGAGGAGGAAAGAGGGTGCCAGTGGAAGGCCCCTTGAGGCCAGCGTGAGCAGCGGGATGGAAGGTTAGCTTAATTGAAATCAGACCCTACAGAGGGGTCAGTGCTTGCGTTCCGAAAACTTCGGCGTCAACCCGGTGAGGTTTCTTGAGGTCACAAGAGCCAGGCGGGCCAACACCAATTCATGCTCCGTAGCCAGTTTGGCTCAAGGATCATTCTTGAAGGCGTCGCATTTGTCACGCCAGATCATATTCTTCTTTGATCGTCATAAGCCTACCGTGGTAACATGGCCGAGGAGGCCGAAGTGCCCGTGATGGGCGGCATGGAGGGAGGGGAGGAAGGCGAGGGAGGCGAGGCGCCGGACATGGCCGAAATGATGAAGATGCTCGGCGGCATGAAAGG